AATTCTGAAATGTCATGTTTTTAGAAAAATAAGCAGACAAAATACGATGACGAAAAAAGACAGTAAGAGAAATGAACAGCACAACTTTACGTGTCTTGCAGTTTTAACTGTATGTAAAGTATCATAGGACAGAGGTTGGCAACCCCTGGCAAGTGTGCCAGAGCATGGTGCATGAGGCATTTTGCTTGGCACACCACAGTCAGCCCAGGCCCCAGGCAGCTGCTGTCAGCCACGAAGCAGCTGGGGCTGGGGTTACACTGCCCCAGGCCCCTTCCCCACTATGCACCCTGAGGCGCATGTGCAGCCATTGCTGCCACGGAGCCCAGGCTGCTTGCAGCAGGCAGTGGGCAGGCTGCAAGCAGCTGCACCAGGGTCCGGAGTGCCAGCCTGGCTCAGGGGTCAGTGGCAGCTGCATGCACACCTCATGGCACACAGCAGGGGCAGTGCATCTCCGGCCCCTTCCCCACCGTGCTCCCCAAGGTGCACATGCAGCCACTGCCAGCAACAAGCTGAGCTGATGCTCCAGATCCCGATGCAGCCACTTGCAGCTGCCTGCTCTGGGCTCTGCGGCAGGTAGCAGAAGGCTGCCCAGCGCCTAGGATGCTTGTAGCAGGCAGCCGCACTTGGTTCAGAGCCCCAGCCTGGCCCACTGCCAGCAGCGGCTGCACACATGCCTCAGGGAGCATGGCAGGGAATGGGCAAGGGCTGCACTGCCACAACAAGCATCAGGCCCCTCACAGTTACCTCGCCATTCGACCCTGGCACACCAACTTCTTCCATGTCCAGGTTACAGGGTTTTTTGGCACTCAGCCCAAAAATGTTGCCCACCTCTGTCAGGGTTTTGAGTGAAAATAGTTGTATTATGGTAATAATACTGTCTTTCATTATTAACAGTACTGTTTAAAATTCACAACCGGGCTGGAGACTCCACTGTGCTAAATCACTCACATACATTATCTAGATCTATACTTCTGTTACACTTACACACACGCAATGTATAATATATTCTAGACTATAGAATATATTCTTACCACCCCGGCCCCCCAAAAAAGACTCTCCTGGTGAAAACCTCAACAGGGTCCAATCATTCCTTCATCCATTGGAGCTTAACCTTGTGGCACTCTAGAAAGGCAAAAAGTTTTGATATACAGGGAGATGCATTCTGGGGCACTCTTCCAACCACTGGCCAAGAAATCAAGGCTCAGGGCAGAACTCAACTCTTAGCTCACACTGAAACTCAGCCAACACAGTAACTAATGATTAGATTAAAATTCAGACTCAAACCCCAACATGGGAGCACTCAGCTTCATTCTGCAGACCAATCCATTGACTGAACAATGCAGCAAAGCAGAACTCCAAACTAACATGGTATTGTATAGCCTAGTGTTTAAATTGCAGATTGACAGGTGGCAATTCTGGAGGGCAGATCATGACAAAGAGCACTTTCCGTTGCTGGATACCATGAGGCCAAGGTATCCCTTGCATGCAACAGGATGACGGCAGATTAGTCTAACCAACTAGATCAATACAGCCTGTAGCTGGAAGACGACAAGTGTGCGTTCAGAAGGATGAAAATGCAGTGTTAGCCAAACACGATCCAGCCAACATCGTTCGGTGGCAGGAGACAGCATGCTGCCCTCAGTATTTTTCTATACACGTATCTGAGCTGACCAGACACATACTGAAACCATGCTGCAATATGAACATAATGAACCATGCTAATTTGCTAAAAACCATTACTAACCGGTTTGCACTTCAGTGAATTTGGATTGCATTTTTTCTAGCTGAAACCAGCCCCTTTAGTGCTTGGCCTGCATGTTTGTGAACCAACAGGGGTTCACAGGCCACTGGACTGCGAGAATCTCGGTCACGTTAAAAGAGAGGAATTCACGCCGGGGCTGGAAGAGCGAGTACCAGCTGTACTGCCCCGGCACGCCATCGCACAACATACCACTCTGTGGAATGGCATTTGTATCAGCTCCGGAGAAGCTGCAATTGCTGCCCTTCTGGCTAAAGCAAAAATTTAAAATAAAAAGCTGTAGAAACTGACTGAAAATAATTCAAAAGGACAGACAGAAAACACAATGGGGGGGAAATGCTGAGGGCTCTGGACCTTTTCTACTCTGTAATAAGGAATTATAGGGGTGGTTAGAAAAGAGCACTTAGCCCCTTTCTCTTGGTCTATGGTCCATATAAACTGAAAGCATGCTTTATATTTAAAAGTAAACACTAAAGGCAATTGTACAACATTGCACTGGACTATGGGGAAGGGAAGAGCTAAATTCTAAAGACTACTGGACATTTTCAATGTCCTGTTTATTACTTGATTTTCTCTCCATTATTCTATCAGACTCCCTTCCCTCCCCCTTCTCTTTAATATAAAATTAAGGATTACCTGTTAAATCTCTTACACTTGTACCATAGCTTTCATCTTATCAGATGTCCAAGTGAATTTATACAGAGGCTTTGGTGATACGGGGTCCATATACCTGGGAACAAGCAGGGGTAGAGGCAAAACTGCAACTGGAAAAACTGAATGCTTTATTAATTTGCTAGAGGTCTTGAACAGGCATTTAGAATGGCAGCTTTAAGGTTTGACTAAGCCTCCTTCACTTCCCTAGGTACTGCAAGGTGCACGAAGAACTGACTTGCCCCAAAAGAGAGTTGAACTTATGGCTGCAAGTATTCCTCATACAATAAAGCTAATGTTCAGACCATTAAACCACCACCTCTGGTTTATTAATACTCTTAGAGGCTGATATAGCTGGTGATCACTAGGAGAGCCACCTTACAAGATCTCAAGCCTGACTGGCAGCCAATACTTGTTATTCCAGACCTGGCTTTTCTTTAACAGAGATTATTAACTGAGCTGAGCTACATCAGGTTTGGTCATTCAGGTCATGTTCATGTCCATTACAGACCCAAGTTAAAATGACTCAAGGCATTTAATTTGCTACTTTACCTCATTTGGAACAAAGGTTTTTAAATGTGAAAATCTACTGACCCCTGAACCCAGTGCGCCACTTTGCCCCTTCTCACATGTCACGCTCCCACCCACCTGCTCTTTACAGAATTAAAAAAAAAAAAAAGGGAAATTACATCAATTCCTATTGTAGTATGCACAGGTTGTCTTTAGCCTTACGTTGGTCTCTCTGAATGTGCCTGGGAAGTTATCAACCTCCTAGTCCAGCTCCAATCCACGAGTCAAATTTAAGAGCAGGATGTACTTCATATCCCTGCTACTGGAAGGAGCAACTCAACAGTCAACTCCCCGATTCCTCCAACTCCAAGCCTCTTTTTCTGTTTGGGTAGAAGACCTGTAGCATGACCTCCAATCTGTGCAGTTAATGTCTACATTACAGTCTGTAAAATCCAGACACACCAAACAGTCCATCTCTATAATAAAAAGATGAAACAGCGAACACTTCTCCTCTTCAAGTTCTGTACTGTCTGACTGTGCAACTATTCCATTTACATTTTTTATATTAGGTGGCAAAAACACTCGGAGAAAGACAAAAAAAAATCAAATATTAAAATCAACTAATAGAATATGCAACATACGGAAGATGTAAAAAAAAAAAAAAGCAAGCAAGCATGTATGGGCAACTCAGCTGTGCAAACACTTGGATTGAGGTGTGCTCTGAACCTTGCTGCTGGGAAAACAGGCGCAAAGATACTTAATACAGCTCGCTGCAGTTATTGACATCTTGGGGAACACAAAGAAAACAAAGCAGCCATCAAATCCAACCCATTTTTACTCGAACCCTGAAGGTTGCCATCTCAGATGATAGTAGCTGATCTATTGGGTCATTTCAGCTCAAGCTTATCAATGAATATAATTACCTTTTTCTTTCACCATGGCTATCGAGTCCTCTTTGGAGTGAAGGCAGAAGGGATTAACTGAGGTAATGTACACACCGTTTCCTATTCCAGCAACGTGTGGCCAGGATGAGAGAGAAAAAAGCCCACAGCTTACTCGAGAGCTCTCTTCCTTGGTTCGATTTCCCACAAAATCTGCTCTGGCTGCTTGTCACTGTCTCTTTTCTCCTTGTGCCTCTTATCTCCTCACTCTCCCTCCCTCTCTCCCTTTTCCTGTGCCTAATGGCAGCTCACTCCCTGCTCGTGGACTCTGCCCCTTGTGCTGAAACAACCAGCTACAGCTGCTGCCGTGTAATAAATGCCAAATTCCCTTGTCCCTAATTTCCAGTCGCTGACACCACCTTACATTGCCCCAGCCTAGCAGGGCTGAGCTGGCAGCTAGACTCTCCCACAAGTCCCTGATAGCAGCTAGCAAATGAGGGGCACCGAGGAAAACTAGAGGAAGTGATTAAATGGGGAGGGAGGAGAGCAAGACTAATATTTACAAGTTTCTGTTTTTCTTCCTTTGAACCAAACAGAACCAGATTAATGGTCAGAAACAACACAAGTGGATTGCAGAACGGTAATGCTGCCTGTAGCTCAGCTGATTTTCTTTATCCGCCTGCTCCTGATTTCAAAACATAGATACCATGTCCATCCGCAGGCTCTGAAATGTTCTCCAAACTATGTTTGAGGACTGCACACGGTGGAATAACCTGCAGAATCTCCACAAATTGGGCGTATTAATTAACTGTACATCACAGCCTTCAAGGAAAGACATTGCAGTGTTAAAAGTAGTCAGCTGAACAACACAGAAAGCTCTAGGAACTGTCACAGATCCGTCTACAGGGCAACTGGGTTTGGGAGCAAAAACCAGAAGGTAAAACATGACATTTCTTTGTGTGGCTCTGGTGACCCCTGTGTGTTGGACATAAAATATTTGTAAGGTCTAAATTCTTTCATTCTTTCCTTTTTTTTTTTTTTAAAAAAAAAGAAAATTACAAGCATTGTCAAAAATCACAAGTGCTCAGGAATCTAAAGGCACTGCCTAGGCAAGTGACACTGTCTATAAATTACTCCAAAGCAAGCATGCATGTCAAATCAACAAAGCGCTGCTGAAACCTGGCATCCAATCAGTCTTTTTACAACTTTCAGTCTCTTAAGCACAGACTTCTAATGGGATCTTGTGATTTTATGTTGGTCACCAGGTTGAACAAAGCAATCAAGAGTTTTATGCATTATAAGTAGTCTCATAATATTTATTGTTTTTCCTTAAATCTCCAGCTCTTCGAGTCATGTGATTATGGGAGACCACCAGTTTTTATTTATTTATTTTTTTAAGTTTCTCCCTATGGTTATAGGTAAGAGCTTAAAAAAAAGAGTGCCTGATTCAAAAACCAAAGGCACATTTAAAAATCTGAAATGCATTACTCTAAAAAAACCCAACTCATTGTTTTAAGCTTGCCTCGTGGCTTTTGAAGGCCTGACTTAGTTTTTGGACATGCAACATTGGCAATGCTGTATTTACACACCTGATTTCCCTTTTCCAAACAGCTTCATTCAAAATAGTTATCTACAATTCAATTTATACACGTGAAGTAATCCTTCCTACACCCTTCCCAGGTACATTTTTGTCATCCATGTTTTAAAGATGTAAAAAAATGAAGCAGAGAAGTTAGAGACTCCCAAGGGGACAAAAGTCAGTAGAAGGACTGGGTTTAATACTTAGGAGGTTTTGGTTCCCAGCAATGTGCTGCATTAAACCAAAGCGCTGACTTTTGAAAGCTACAGCTGGATGAAAACGAAGGCCACCATAATGGAATTCCTTCGTAAGGCTTTTATTTAGGGAACAAAAAAGTTTAGAAGTAGAGAATCAAAATGCAGCCGCTATTCTGACAGTGGCAGATGGCTGATGTATCCTGGAGAGACAGAACATATAGAGAGTGTTAGATTTTATTTACTGCAAATATTGCAAAATGCTTTCTATAGATATTACCCAGAGCAATAGAAAAATAAAATAAACCAGCCTGTCTGTCATGGTATTTCTTGTTCAACCAAATCCCTTATTTAAATAAAAAGACAAGAGCAGAGAATTGTCTGGGAAAAAATGCCTAGCAGATCTAGGCTTGGTTTCTATTGTTAGCTGCCTGATGTGTAAGAGAAACAGCCTGAGCAGTTTGACATTCTTCCTTCTATGACTCAGTGCGTTACTAAGAATAGCCTGAACGGGTGAAGATGGGCGAAATCCCTTCAACCCCCTAGTCCTGTGCGTCACATCACATTTCTGACACATCACAGACCGCTCTGGGATGCAGCTCAACCTAGCAGTGCTCTTAATCACACGCGATTCTTCAAACAGCGAGTCGGACAGGGTCTTGCAGGGGGCACGCCTGACCTTCATTCATAAATACTAGCTCTGCTTTGCTGTTTAATGCCAGAAGGCGTTACACACATGGATATTATTAACCCTTTGCTGTGATCTTTAGACGCTCTCCGAAGGTTTGCATTGACATTTATCATTCATTTTTCACTTTAGCAGCTGCTGACATGTAAGCTAACTGCTGGTATCTGGACTTTTTTGTTCTCCAAGCCCATTACTCCCATTTTTCACATGTGTTAGAGATTAGCACCTGGGGCTACATGGAGGACTATCAGTCATCCAGACAGAACTGCAATGTTATCCTTTAACATGCACATAAAAATAGCTTTAAAACTCACACTGCAGTAAATTACACTGGAGGGGTTGGAAGACAAATGTAATTTATTCCCAAGTCAAAGGATATAATAACAGTTGCTGGTATTATAAATAAAGGCAAATATATTACACATTTATGCCCGAGCTGCTTTTGTGTTTTAATCTCATTGTTTTAAAAACCTTAGGCTATCGCTGGTCTGTCCCCTACCACTCTGGATGTATACAAACACCCCACAATGGGAGAACGTGGGCAGTAACCAGGCATTCTGGAAACCAACAGCTGGTAGTTACTGCTCTATCAAGGTGCATCATCTTCCAGAGGAAAGGGGAAACAATGCTATTTGCTTTCAAGAACCTTTTGCACTCTACAATTTTAATCTAATGGAGTGCTCTCTTTACCACAGTCAAAGTGAATGAGACATGATGAGTACACGTCAGCTGAAGCAGCAGGCATACAAGAACGGTCACCAAAAATGATTGTTATTGGACTATGAAGACATACATTGTGCGCTCAGTAAACACCTGAGGATCAGGCTGGGGATATTTCAAGAATGGGGAAGAACAGAATCAAATTTGTTTTAGCTTTTTCTTGACCCAAGACAAGACGGTTAAAGGGAAATGGTCCAAGGAATTAAAATGATTTCAAGTACTATACTTGAATTCTTCTACAAATTATTGCTGGTTTATAATTGAATTTTCCTCAAAAGTAGCTTTTTCTTTTGTAGCCATGTGAAAGACTTGCCTCCACGGACAGCAAAAGCACTGCAATAAAGCAGCCACTCTCCCATTTGTTGATATTACGGGAGCCCTTTGAGATGGATCGATAAGAGCCCTTGCTGCCTTTACGAGAGACCAGCTTCAAAGGGCTTACAAGTAAAGCAGAGAAAGGGCAGGAGAAGAATTATTCTTCCCCTCTTTTGTGGATGGGAACTGAAGCAGTCAAATCAAGTAACTTGCCCAAGGTCACACAGTAAGTCTGTCAGAAGGCACTGGAAGGGTAGAGGTGCACCTTGCGGACCGACTGAATACTGAACTCAGATACAAGTGGCTTTCCAGTGTCTTAACCATGAGATTTCTCCTTCCTCTTACCAGGGCTTTCAAAAGCATGGGAATAAAAGGCAGAGGGATAAAATATTTTCTCTTCTAGTTGTTTTCAGTGATAGTCATCTCGGCTGTTCCTCCAACAAAAGATGTTACCAAACAAGGCTTGTTTCCCTTGTAGTACCAGGTCAACAAATTCAGACAAAAAGGTGGTTTTCTTGCCTCTTTAAAAAGATACTTGCTGCAATGAAATTCGACCAATATTCAAAGGGTTGTGCATCATCAACCGATAAACACGTGCAAAAAGATGATAGAATAAGCAACTGGGTAAACCAGAATCTCAGACTGTTTGGTTTTTTTTAAATTTCAAAAGCTGGCTGTCAAAAACTTTATCTTGCTCTCATACCTTACAGATGAGACAATGGCTTATAAACACCAGCATGTGACTGTTACACATTTAACTCCCATTTCCTCATTGACAAATGAAGGAACAGACTCTTGGAAACTATAAGACAAGAAAGTTTCGTTAAATTATATCTGGAAAAAAAAATCCCTATGTCCTCAATGTCCATTGGCCTCTGGAAAAAAGGGCTGGTGTGCACAGCTCTGGCAACAAAGCCCTCTAAGGCTTAATTGCTGCACTGCCCGAGTCAATTAAGAGCCTGTACCATTATGGAGTCTTGACTTGAGGCACTGGAGAATTTGTCCTTTCTCAGGAAACAAAGTCCTCTTCTCCCATGCTTTTACATGGAAGGTGACCCACTGTTACCAGGGATTAACCATGCCTGCTTCAGCGGGAAGAGGTTTCACGCAACAGCCCGGGAGCACTTACAACTGTCAGTGCCCTTCAGAAAGCGCAGTCTCTAGTTTCAGCATTCTTGACTTTGCTAATGACCATATCCTGGCTCCTGTTCCTCCTGAGCACATCACGTCCCCAAATCTGACCACATCTGCAGCTCGGACAAGTGGCTGTTATCTGTCCCATGATCCCAGCACAATTGGGAGTGCTTATCACAAAGCACAGACACTAGTATAAAAGAAGCATATCCACTGAATGAAATGCAGTCATTGCCGACTGCTGCAGTTCCTTCACATTTACAGCATAACGCACACCAGGATTTGGACTCCTGGGTGACATGAAGCTGCCCCTTGCACTGTTCCCAACTAGCTTGGCCATGTTTATTTTGGGGAAGGTACAGCTTTTTTAGGTGAGCTTCTGCTGTACTTGCTTTCATAATGGCTCTTACGTTGGTCCCATGGAGCTCCCAGCATCTGCAAAGGACCGACTTCTCTCCTATCTCTAGACAGACTGTGAGACTGCAGGAGGACTCCCTCCATGACTGTTACTTCAGATAATAGCCAGAAAAAGCCACTTCATACCCCCTATATAAGCTTTCCTGGCTACTGACTTGGTATTATCATAGTTCCAGTGGCCTTATAGCCCACCTTCAGCCTTCTTCAACAGATCACACTGGGAAGTGTCAGTGATGTAGAAAGGATACCAACGCCTCACTTTGGCCATCCCATCTGGGACCCAGTGAAGAGCTGACACGCACATGACTTAAGCAGTGTGAGGGGCCTCAGAAAGACCTTCCACCGGTGAGCAAACTTCTTCCTCTGTGCATGGTATGGTCCAAGTTCCTGCAGCCCTTAACTCCTGCAACAACCACGTTAACCTTG